TTTGTTGCCTCCTGCTACGTGGAGATCCATGGGCAAATATTTGAAGAACTGGAAATGCATCTTGGAGAATGTGGTGTCTCCTTCAGGATGTCTCTGTTGAGATGGTATGAAATGGGGCAAGTGTGGAGTAGCAGAGCTGCATCTCATGTAAACCATCCCCATGACATGACTTCTTCAGCAGACCTGCTTCCCATATCTATGCCAGAGCACTCACTCACTGCAGCCTTGAGGAGAGGCTCCCATGACTCATCTCAACAGAGCTACACAATCCTGTGGGACCCAAAGTTGCCCATGGAAGAACAGGGGACAGCCTTGTGCTGTCTTTGGAGGGTGGGTGGAAGAGAGGGAAAGCAATTCCTTCCCTACATTTATCCCCAAGGATGTGAGTTGTGTGCAGGTACTTTTTTTTCCATTTACATAGTAACAAAATGCTGAAGGCCACGGTTAGACACAGCTACACAGTTTCTCCTAAGGGATGGGCTATGCTGACTGAACTTCCCTATGAAGGCCTCATCAGGAGCCTCTTTGTCCTGTTTCCATCTCCTTTAAGTACACTTCTGAAAGAAAAAAGAGCCATGAAAAAGCTATTTGCATAAATATCATAACTTTTATTGTTCTGTTCACAGTTTTTGGAGAAACATTCCTAAATTACACAGTTATTCTCTCTTAAGAATTTGAGCCTTTTTCAAATTTGAATTTGCCTGGCTTCGATTGCCAGTCAGTTATTCTTGTTGTGTTGCTCTTTTTAAGATCAGAGAGCTGCAGTGTTCAGTGTTTTCTCCCCATGAAGGTACTTGTGCACTGTAATCAAAGACATTCTCATTTTTGGTAGATAAATTCAGCTGAGTTTCTGGATCACCCTCTCTAAGGCATTTTCACACTCCACTAGTAATTTTTTATTCTTTTTTTTTTTCATTCATTCCAATTACTCAGCTTCTCTTTTAAAATGTAAATATCCAAATTACATCCAAAATTCCCAACTCTCACAGCTGAGGCATACAGAAGTATAATAACTTACTGCTAATGGTAATTAAAAACAAGAACACATTCTTATTCATTAGTCTTTTATCCTGGGACTCTAGTGGAAACACATGGAGCTCTTACTCTAGTCCAGGGTATGGGTATTTTTGTAATGGTGACATTTTATCAGTGGTCATTTTATATCTATCTTCAGTGATGTGGAACCACTGGTCCCAGGAGAACCCTTTTATGTGCATCCCCATTTCATTATGGTTCCCCCTGAACAACCCTCTGAAAGATGCAATTGTCAGAAAACACCAAGCTTTGCAGGGGCCCAGGTACACTCAGTTCACTCTAATCCCAAAGAAAACTGAAAAACAAAGATAGAAAGAAGTGACTCACATCAGGCTCCCTCATTAACATTCATCTCCTGTTCCATCTCTTCCCTGGGGCTGTCAAGCTCACTCAGCCATGCCCTGCTTACCATCCCTATCTGTGGCTCAGACACTGCTCCAGGCAGCTCCCTTAGAAGCACTGATACAAGGTTTCTAGACCTACTGAATTAAAAAATGTTAATTTTTAATATTAAGCATTGCTAATGAATGACATCACCTTTCCAGTTCTCCTACATCATCACTAGCATTACCACCTGCATCTAGGAATGGTCCTTACCCTATGGCAAAGATTTCCTCCAGTTCTATTGCCCTCACCAAGCACTCCAACCCATACATCATTCTTTTCCTTTGGATATTGCTTATTACTTTTCTACACTTCATAATTCTCATTTTGAGTGGATTGCTGTCTACTTCCTTTTTTCATATTTGTTCTATATTAATTTACATCTAATTCCTCCCTTCATTTCATCACTGAAATAGGATGGGTGGTTAGCCAAAGTTGTCCCCCATCTCAACTGCAGAACTGTTGGGTTTTTGGCCATTTCACAGATTTCACTTAGAAAACTGCCAATTCTAATTCAGTTTTCGCTACCAGATTTGATACTGAATTTGTTCAGCTGTGCCCCTTGGAAGCACCAGTTACATTTACTAGCAGTTTGCATGGCTGTTTGCCTAGCTTGAATGTGCTCAGGATCCCAACTTCTATGAATCTGTGATTCATTTCTCTTTATCTGACAGAAATAAGACAAAACCACATAACTTTGTTTCATCTCTAGCACTGCATTAAAAACCAGGTCTAGGGTATAGACAATGAACATTAGTCCTCACTACTGGATTCTTTTTAACTGCACAAAACCAGACACATTTTTATTTTACCTGTGATGAAAAACCAGGCTAAGAGATGAACTGGCAGGTCAGTACCAGCTGAAAATCAATTATAGTGGGCACATCTTGGAAAACTTCCCCATTCACTTCTATAATACCTTTAAAAAGTTTAATAATTTTTAACCACTCCAAAAAGCAGATAAAAAATTTCAAACACTCTGAATACACTTCCTAGCTTCTTGGACTACGTCTGAGCATGACTTTTTCTACCTTCTTTAGTATCACCAGCTACTCAGACAAGGTGCCTTTGCAATTTCCTGCTTCTCCAGCAGACACAACAATTTAAAGCATGAGCTGGGTTTGCTGGACAAACATAATCATGGGTCTGATCAACTCTTCACAGCTCAATTAACATTTTTCCAATTAGCCACGTTCATGACCTTCCCCCTGGCCCAGTTTAAAATACCTTAGAGTGTTTTTTGAGCTTTCCATTTCCCAAACACTTCTTAAACTGAAACAAAACACACAAAAAAGTTTTAAAATACTTTTTGATATATTAACAGCACTGAGCTAGTGCTTCATTTGATAATCAATCCACACTAAAGATAAAAGCCTGCTTTTTACTTTAAATAATATACTGCATTAGAACAGCAGAAACAAGCTAGAGATAGGAGATGGTTGACAACACTTACTGCTCCAAACTCTACATGGAGTGAGGAGGAAGAAGAAGCAATTTGTTCAAAAAGGAAGCAAAAAGGTGAGTGGCTCCCTGGGGTGGGAAGAGGCATCTCGGAGCCGAGTGAGCCATGTCACAGGAGAGTTCTGCCAGGGAAGAGCAAGACTGGAAGGGTGATGGGAAGAAAGAGACTTGAGACGGAAAATAAACGGGCAGCAAAGAAGAAAAAACATTTAAAGATGCTCCACTGAAAGTCAGTTTTTTAAGGTGAGTGGCTCCCTGGGGCGGGAAGAGGCATCTCGGAGCCGAGTGAGCCATGTCACAGGAGAGTTCTGCCAGGGAAGAGCAAGACTGGAAGGGTGATGGGAAGAAAGAGACTTGAGACGGAAAATAAACGGGCAGCAAAGAAGAAAAAACATTTAAAGATGCTCCACTGAAAGTCAGTTTTTTAGCCAAGGAGCAGTGAAGGAACACGGATGACTTGGACGGAACCAAGGGGCTGAGGGAGGGAATGGAGTGAGATTTGACAGCTCAGGCAGAATAGATCAGGAAAGAAACTGGGCTGAGAGTCGGCAGCCTTCATGGAAATGCTCTTTTGTGCTCAGAACTGAAGCAAAAA